CTTTCTACGTAAATGTTTTCCAAACTATTAAATTACATGCAAAAGAATATAAATATATTTGGAAAAGTTGCATACCACACCTAAGATTTTTAAAAGAATACAAAATTTGAGAATATTATCCAATTAAATTTCAAAACAAAAATAGAATCGATCGAATTTTCGTAACACAAAATTTGTTAAATGTTACCGAAACGACTATGTAGAAAACTCAAGGGATAAGTCCGGCACAAAATATAATTGAAAACCCGATGACAGGTTTTCCCTTAAACACATTCATATGGCCTAACGCTAAGTGAAAAGGAATTCAACACTACGATACTTGACTGTTAAAGTGGTGTACACCTCTAAATTAACAAATACACGTTTTAACCAATCAGATCTTATACTACGCAATTTTTCTAAAGAACATAGCATGGAACTTTTGGACATAGGACGACATTGTGCAAAGTCTGATTGCAAACAATTAGATTATCTCCCCATTAAATGTCAATATTGTAAAAAAGATTTTTGTTTCGACCATTCAAAGCCCAGCGAACATAATTGTAGCGACGCACCTAGTGGAGATGGTGAGCGGGTTCCAATCTGTCCCTTGTGTGGAGTGCCTGTTCCGATTGTCAGAGGCGAGGATCCCAATATTAAAGTGAGTCACAGTTAAACTTCTAAACACAAAGTAGAACGAATAATCTTATAATACAGTATTCACTTTTTTATTAATATCATTTCAGATGAACGGTCATATAGCAAAGGGTTGTCATCCACCACCCACAACAAATTCATCGAAGCCATTCAACTCATGCTCTTTTAGTAGATGCAAAGAAAGGGTTGCAATCCGTTTGATTTGTTCAGGATGTGGCAAAAATTATTGCATAAAACATCGTTTAGAGCCCGATCATATGTGCGATAAAATTAAAAAAGACATTAAAATAAAGCCATCCGATCCAGAGTTGGAAACGAACGAACCCAAATCTAAATCTAAATCCAAATCCAAACCCACATCAAAACCCAAATCCACAGTAAAGAAACCTAAAAAATCCATCAAAGCTTGGTTTAAAAAGATATTTAAATAGAAAACAAAAAGAATTATTACTTAGCCTACTAGGACACCGAACAATATATATCGAGGTTATATCGGCTTTAATATGAACTTTTTACAAATTTTATCCTCCTTTATTAGATCTAATTAACCTTATTTTGTATTATAAGGTGTAATTTTCAAATAATTTTATCCGATTAACTAATATATAAAATTCTTTTATTTTATTATCCAAAGTTTAAATATAACTTATCTTAACCTTATTGATTTTATCCACTTTTGTTAACATAACATTATAATCTTTTAACCAATAACCGCTTTTTAAATATAACATTTTGGTAAGCAAGTAACCTTTTTAACCAAAATTTCAAAATAACCTCTATATATATAATTCGGGGTCCTGGTTTACTAACGACTAGAGATTATACCCGGATAATTTACTACGGTCATATAATAACAAATCCTACTCGGATACAATCCTTATTAATGACTTCACAGTCAAGGAAAAGGCATAATAAACAAGTAAAAGAAGTATTAAGGGATAATACTTGCAAGGATACAGCAATCAGCGGAAGCAGAGCTGTGGACAATCAGTGAAAATCAGTCGTCATTGTTGAGAAATCTCTTTAAATAAGTATTAATGTATATAACTTAACATAATCAAGCATATTAATTTAAACATGTATATGTTTTTATCCATATTTTTTCTATTTCTGATTGATTATAGTATATATATATTATATTTAATTAAATGATTAAATATTACATCTACTTTTATTATATATATAGAAAATAATTCGACGCATAGTGCACCAGCGTGGAGGAATTTCTCACCGAGGGTTAATACTTTACCTATATCTAAATATGTAAAATATTAATATCCTGTGCTATTATTAATAAAATAGCTTATATTTAAGTTTGATAATGTTAATTGTCCGGAGCGAAGCGGAGAACTCATTTCTATGCGCTTTGATGACTGAAATTACGATTTTGATGCATCTGTAATAAAAATATCAAAAACGTAGTTTCGGCACTTTCTGTCTGACGCCCCTGAAAATTTTGATCTGCGATAACTTTAATTCTATCGCTATGAATCTGTAGAATTGAAATAATCAAATTTCATTGGATAGTTGCCAAAATATCTTCATTTTAAAATCATGTTATAACTAAAAAAGTAAATAAAAGCACAATTTTTTTTTTTAAGTTTAGAAGAATATATCTTGATAACCACTTAATGAAGTTCAATCATTTAGCTCTACAGATTTATAAAATCAAATAAAATTTATATTGAATTCCATTAGATAATTTTCGGTTGAAATCATGTCATGATTTCAAACGTCAAGAGAATTAACTAGCAGGCTTTAGCCTTTAAACATTACTATAAATAGAAGCGTTGAAATTATCTTTATTTATAGGGAAATTCTATTTTGACCCGGGTTAAAATGACACTCAACAAAATTTTAGGGTTAGTGTGGCCAGAATTATGTTGATGCCGGCCAGGGTTTTTTAATACAAAAACCGGCCGGCATTAACATAATTCTGGCCCGCACTAACCCTAATTTTAGGAGAGGGTTATTTTGACCCGGGTCAAAATAGAATTTTTCTTATTTATATTAAATATAAATATTAATAAACTTTTAAATTTATTTATTTATTTTTTTATTTATTTTTTTTTTTAAAGTGAGGTTGTGTTTTATGTCTTTATTAATATATGTGCTTGTATACAATTTTTCCAAATTATGATACATGTTTAATATTATAACTACACAAGACTTAGACTACTTTATTTATAACCTAGACCTATCTGAGCCACTATGTCCCATTCACATATAGCCAGGATTTTTGTATCTATTACTAAGTTATTAAGGTTTTATTATTATTATATTTCTTCCATGTCTTGCATCATATAACTACCAATTTCCAAATTGGTTTCATTGGAAAGTTGCTCTTTATGAGCTCTCAGTTTTTTGGTATACCTGATAAGGCCTTATTCTCAAAGTTCTCTGCATCACAGGATTTACACATCGCTACACCACAGGTCATCAATTGGATACAATTTTCATATAGGTAGATTAATTTATACTAGTTGTGTCCACTGCAGGCCAAGTAATATCTGATTTTTGATGAAGTTTGTCATGTGTAGAGACTGGACTTGTAATAACTCGTGACTTATAAATTAAACTCAGAAGAGTATCAAATATATTCGAATCATGTGATTGAATTATTTTTTTGAGTTTTATTTGAATTACTCAATTCAGAATAGTTTA